ACCCTCACTGTTTGCACTTGATTGTCCTGGAAAACTGCTGTGTGCAAGTTGAATGCCATTAAAGAAATCCATGTAACAAAATACTTCAGTTCAAATCATCACAGTGAAAGGTTGCCCAGGCAGAGTTATTGCAGGTTTCACAGTATGTTCATTTGTACATAAAACAGAATCACAGACTGGTTTGGGCTGGAAAGGACCTGAAGATCACCCAGTTCCAACCCCCTGCCACGGGCAGGGACACCTTCCACTAGAGCAGGTTGCTCCAAGCCCCTGTGTCCAACCTGGCCTTGAACACTGCCAGGGATGGGGCAGCCACAGCTTCTCTGGGCACCCTGTGCCAGCGCCTCAGCACCCTCACAGGGAAGAGCTTCTGCCTTAGATCTAACCTGAACTTCCCCTGTTCCAGTTTGAACCCATCACCCCTTGTCCTATTGCTCCAGTCCCTGATGAAGAGTCCCTCTGAGGTCTCCATGCAGCTTCTCTTCTCCAGGCTGAACAGCACCAGTGTTCTCTCTAAAACACCAAAGATAAACTTCTTTCCTCTTCCCCTACGTGGGAATACGTTGCCAAAACATTTTCTAAACATCTAAAAATCCCATTTTGATGTTTGGCAACAGAGACTTCAGCCATTAAACCACAACAAGAAACACCCAGACCTCAGAAGGAAGACCCAGAGAGCTGAATGGCCCAGCCTAGTCTTAGTATGAACCTGAACAACAGAGGTGGCCAAGTGGCATCACCATCTGCCATGAACCTGGCAATGTTAATTAAGGTTGCATTATCCTTACCCCATCTACCACCTCCAGCTTTCTATGGGATGTTTACCTCCAGCCAGGGCACAGTGCTGACCTCCAGGGTACCATCCGTTCAAGTAAGATCCTTTCTAACAAGTCACCCATGATGTTTAAACCAATCATTCACATCCATAAAGCTCATATACCCATGTCAACATGCTACTCCAAGCTCTCCCGAGGCATAGCTCCATGGAACTTCTCTACGCTCGTTAGCCTACTAATGCCCTCCAATGCTTGCTCTTGCTGAGACAGTATTACCTCTAGTTTGCTACCCTTCAGGGTGTATGTGAGCAACTGTGAGCCTTACTTTTGCATTGAGAGCCAATTTTTCATTGCATATTATTAGAACAGGTACCAGTCTCTGGGTTTAGGCTCGATATAGGACCCTTATAGACAATTACAGAGAAATAAAACACAGCTCCTGAATGTACCCCACCAAAGAACAGACTGTTCATTTTGCAGAGAACTTTCATTTGTGATGCTGCTTGCAAGAAAGAGATCTTTCTGCCAGTTTTCCTCAGTTTTTATATGATCCTGGCTTAAAATCCCACTCAAGAGAGGTCCACTCTTACCATTTAACTCCACTTTACACCACCATGCTTGGAAATAACTGTACATGCAAGTCTGTGAGTTGTAAGTGGCTGCAAATACCTCCCTTTAGAACGATTAAAAGACATCATCCTACCTTTCCCACCACCACACAACATTCAGCTTCGCTTTATTTGCCAAAGCCAGCCTTAGAACTCAGCAATACAGAACTCCGTTGTTCATTAGGAAGTGTAGTATGAGGCACTTACCTCTAGCAGTGCTTGGAGCTCACATCACACAACTCAAGGCCCTTGACCAGGCTGCAGCACAGTCGTCCTCTGTTGTGGCCACCTTCCGTTCTCATTGCAAAAGGGAGGCCAGTGTCTGTGTCTGAAGCCGTAAAGAGACGCTGCTGTGGCTCACACAAGGGCACATAAAGGGAAGTGCTCCCGGGGCTCACAAACTACATGCTCTCAGGTTCGTTTTCCCACCAGCACCGCTTCGGGAAGCTCCTGATTCTGCTCTGGAATTGAACTCTGTGAGAAACAGCGGTTACTAAAGCCCCAAGTCTCAAGGCACAGCTCCGGAGGAAGGAGCCCCTGTTCCAGGGCACGGCTCCGCCGGGCGCTGAGCAGCTCCTCAGGCCCCTGGACGCGGGGGCCTGATCCCATTCTCCTGTTCAAACCCAGCTAAGACAGCTGATACAGGCACAAACATAAGAATCCATGTACAGGGCTCAAGTTTGGTGTTAAATGAGTTGATTATTGTTGTAAGCATTTACTAACATTTGACTTGAGAAGTTTCTTACCTCTCCAATGTGTTTAAGATGGGCAACAACCGAACAAGCAGCAACAAGGTTTGGCTTCCCCTCCTCCCCCCCCCCCAAATAACCACATGAAAGGGTTACTCTGAAAGAAAGAGTTTTATTTTGTGCATTTCAGAGATAAGTGAATAATGACATCTAATAAAATCAGCTGCTGCTGTGCTAGGCAGACACAGGTAAAACTCGGCTTTCCCTTTTACATGACAACATGCAGTGTGAGAAGGATACATGATTTCACCTGAATTCAAGTTAATAGCCTCTGAGTAAATCAAGAGCTATTAACCACGAACACTGGTAACAGTCAAGATTGCTTCAGCTGAGAGGAAGAAAAGAAGAATGTGTCAATACCATATAGATCAAGAAACACCAACTGGAACACATGGATTCACAGTTCTCACCAAGTTCTTTAGTTTGTTTCTAAACCATGTTTTACTGAGTATAACTTTGCATTACTGAGTTTCTGAGTGTGGAATAGAAATGATACTAATGAATGAAAATACAGTTCGGGATCAGTCGACACGTCAGCTGTTTTTAGGGGATAATGATTTAGGCATAGAGTTCACCTAGATGAATACGAGCCCATGAGTGTTGGATTCAACACCGCTTTCTTCCCTCTTCATTTTTGAACTGCCTCAACACAGTGTTGAGTAGCTTTGTGATAAACACCCCCCCCCCCAAAATCCCCCAATAGTTACAACCTCAAATCTTACTTCTGTTGCTACTTAACAGCAAAGTCAACCACTAGGATACATATTTTTTCCTATTTAACTATGCTCAACAAATCAGTGCAGAAGCAACATTATCAATGGGCATGTTGAGAAGTTCTGTAACACGTACATAGTGGTGATTTAGCTTTAAAATTGTACTAGTGCATGAGAAAAAAACCCCTACCAGTGACAAATATGCAGCCTCTATCAGCAGTGCAGTTTGCAAAGCAGTGGAAAGTCATCTGGAATAACACAGGAAGGTTCTGATGAATAATTTAACATGGTTTTTTTTCCAACACTACAAGAATGTTATTGCCAATGTGTAGAATTTAAATCTTTTTCCAAAGCCATAGCTCTTAAGATGCACTTCCAATTTTAAACTGGTTTTATCAAGTAAGAATGATTATTCCTGCCATATTGTTCCTGCTTTCTAAGCCATACGAGCTATAAAAACATACCTTCAACTAACAAATGAGTAATAATTAGCTAGAAAAACAGGAAAAAGCTATTGACACACCTCAACATCATTAACAAGAATTTTGGAAGGTTCAGTAAATGATGAAAAATACTTTATATGCCTCTTCTGCAATAAAAAAGTAAATCTGTGGCTGACCTTTCAGTGATGGTTTCAAACAAGTGACGTCTCTCATGCATTGTGCTGCGAAAAGAAAAGCTTTCCAACCCAGGTACTGCAGCACTCAGGAACTGAGGTGCAGCACAGACCTTGCCTGTTCACTCCAGCAAGGCACTTCAAATACCTACTAGCCTTTCAGATAAAGAGTCTAAACACAGCCACTTCTTACAATTCACCTCCCTTCAGCCTCTTAACTTGTCCTTAAGTGTATCTACCTATAACACATCTCCCTGAACAAGACAGCACCCTTGCACTGGACTTAGGGTATGGAAACTTTAAAATGTGGATACAGTAAGAACTTGACATACGTGTTATTAGTGCATTATAATTACATCCTGTGTATAGTTTTTCAGCTAGTGCTGTCTAACATTAAGAAATGCCATTATCAGTTTTGCCTTCCCTCCCTTGTGATGTGGGAAGTGTTGTCATCCTCACTCTCTGTCTCTTTACTGTACTAAGATGGAAAACTTACAGAACCATAGAGCATCACCAGGGAGTTGAGAATCACCAGCTGCACTCCTGCCAAACACCCTCCTATGTGGGAACACTGAACTGCACTCCATTAGGGCATACAGGCATCCAAATCTGAGAGGACACGGTTTGCATCACGTTCACTGGTGCTGTTCCCAAAGAACAGTACATAGAGGTAGCATGCTTGTCCTTACTGGTGGAATTTCAAAAGGCCTAGAAACCTCTTCTCTTCTCTGGTTACCTACTGCTAATCTCTCTTCTCGTTGCTCTTTTGTTTCCACCTGCTTCAATACAGCTAGGATCTTCCTAAGAATAAAGAGCCAAGGTGACTATACCACTTCCATAAAGTAAGCAATCAAGCAAGCACATCATTGACTTCTGTATCCTTGGCCTCCCCCAACATGTGTTGTATGCACATGCACACACTTCCTATGAAGTCCTGACGGTGAAAAACAGCTTTAAATGAAGAGGCAGGTTTCCTGCATGGCCCACAGTGTTTTAAATGGAAAAATGGAGCAGTGTAGGCCATTACCTTATTCTTGCTCAAGTTAAGTCTCAAAGTAGTTTAAAGGTTTTGAAAATTTTACATATAACTTCAAAGGTTGGTTTATCACAGCGTTTGTAAGTTTTATTTCTGGGGTTGCTTAATGGAGTGTTCAACTGAACACATAAAAACCATCCCATAATACAGTTCAACAGAGAGACAACGAGTTCTGCCTTCATTACTGTACGGTGCCACATCACAAAGCATACCAAACTCAAAGCTATACGTTAGTGTATGCCCCTTTGAGCACGCATTTGCAAAACAGCCATTAAGAGACAGAAACAAAAACAGAGCTGTGCTACTCATTTTTAGCTCAGCAAAGAGCTCCCTTTGTTACATTAAGATTTTGATTTGAAAAGTCTAAAAAAAAAAAAAGAAAACAAAGCTACTTTTAGGTTTGTGCATATGCTTAAACTTGCTCCTGAAGTAAAAGTTTCTGCATTAAGTGTGCACTGCAGTTGTGTTTGATTGTCATGGCCTGATTTTCAAATACACCACCCAAGCCCCACACAGTTACAGGGCAAGGGAGCTGCTGGCATTCAGCATCTTTGAAAGTCAGGACACAGCTTCACTGGTTGTGCAGAACAGGACATTTCCCTGCAGTATAAGCCAAGTGTTCATTTATGCCCAATAATAAGACCACAGAAGTTTGATCAAAATCAATCAACTTTTACAAGTCATAAAGGATTTCAAGGATAACCCCAATCGACCAGGCCTGAGTTTCACAGCTGAAAGGGCAATACTGTCCATTTTCATTGGTCAGCTCTGGAAGCCCTTTCCAGGATGACCTGGTAAAAGAAAACACAAACGAGTACTGATGTTAGGTTATACACTGAAATTAAAAGAACAATTTGGTTTTAAACCATTCAGAAAGTTATCCAGTAGGAACTGAAAATCATGACTAAAGGTCTGTTGTCCTACAGGCACAGTTTGTACTTTAATAACTGTGATGTAGAGATTTGGGTATTTTCCTGCAGCTGGGAACTGGGTTTTTTGGGGGTGCCTCTCTTCCAAAGTAGACTCTCTGCTGCTAGTAATAGCTGAACTTGCACTGCTGGCATGCTGCTCCTCTTTCTCATTTGGGTAGTTGTGCAGTTGGAAGAACAGGAATGATATTTGAGGTAACTGAATGGTATCAAGCTACACTTGAAAGTGGATTATGGGAGTACTACAAAACCAAACAAGACACTGGGACAAGACACTATGTAATGCAAAAAGTTGCTTAACAAACCCCTTTTCTTCCTCACGTGGTCAGACAAGCCGTTTTGTCATGACCAGTTCTACTGAGTTACTTTTATGGATACAAATAAATGCACGTTTGAAGTACTGCAGAACAGATCACATGGAAGGGATCACGGGCAAGATCTTGATTTTGTTTGTTTTCATTTGTCTCAAATCCTTAAGAATTAAAATATAATAGAAAAAGGGAAAAAGTAGTGTGGGGTTGGTGGTTTGGTTTGAGGGAGAACTCAAAATGTAAAGGAATATTGAAGGGCCATTAGCAAGTTCCCCTGCCTTCTCAGAATATCAAGGGTAATAAGATTCTGAAATACTGTCATACTAATCTCCTCATTTCTAACATAAGAAATCCTAACTATAGTGCACAGCAGCTTATCTGAAACACAAGTGTCACCTCAACATGAGGAAGAACTTCTTTACACTGAGGGTGGCAGAGCCCTGGCACAGGCTGCCCAGGGGGGTTGTGGAGTCTCCCTCTCCGGAGACATCCCAAACCCACCTGGACACATCCCTGTGTGTGTGCTCTGCTCTGGGTGGCCCTGCCTTGGGCAAGGGGTTGGACTGGGTGATCTCCAGAGGGCCCTTCCAGCACTAATGGTTCTGTCTGATCTGCCTCAGTTTTACCTGTCACCACCAGCCCCTTCATGATTTTGTTTTGCAGGTTGTTTGGAAATACTTTCAGTTTAAAAAACTCCTCACCAACTTTTTTCTGAAATTAACTTTTTGTATGAAATTAGATCCTAATTTTTAGATAAGGTTTATTTCACCCCATGTTTACATAGGTGTTAGTAAATCTGCAGTCTCTAAAAAGCACTAGATCTCAGCTGTACTTCAAACCTGACTCGAGATCTGCAACAGCACTTACAGCAGTGAACTTTCTATGTAGAAAACAGATGCTCTTGATATTACAGATAGGTACAGATGCAATTGGACAGCGGATACCACAAGGCTGACTGAACACTTGGAATCCATGTTAGTTGGTGTCTTACCTTTCAAGGTGAACATAGTGGCGAGAGAGAACGTTCTTAACCATAACGACAGTTTTTGCATACATCTCTGGACCAATCAACTTGGAGAAGTACAATTTGGCACGGAGAAAATAGCCAATTGGCCACAGCCACTCCTAAGCAAAGAACAAAGAGAGCTGATGAGAGCTGTCAGTTTGAAAAGGTAACAGCACTTCTCCTAAAGCTGAAGAAACTGGCTCTTACAGGTCCTTGGTGATAATTAAAACCTTTGGCTACATTATAGTTGTCGTTGTCAAGAGCGTTATCATAGACTCCACAGTAAACCATATCACTGCAAGGAAGAAAGGAAAATGTTATACCAAGGCTTAAAAATACATTAAAAAATACATAAAAGTGGAAAGCAGAAGTGACTCCAAAATCTGTCATGGCATTTACATTTAAGGATGGGTAACTTAGGGAGGTCTTTGCCAGGTTCTGTGTTTTGCACGACAATGGAATTCCAAATATAGTTTAAACTAGTAGGAAAACAGTTTAAAGTCTTGGAATGACTTGACTTAGTAATTTTGCCTTTGTACTTTTACTCAAACATCTCTATGACACCAAATTTGACTAGCTTACTGCAGCCTTGTTTCACAGGTATGTAAGAAATAACAACTACTACCCCCATGTGTCAAATACTTCCCACTGTCACAGTCTGTAATGAACACTTATCTCTACTGTACTTACTCTGGATCCAAGGTTTTCATGCCTAATGGACCAAGCAGTTTTTCCTCTGCTATCTGCAGAGCTTTCCAAGCTCTCTCAGGTGTGAATAACTCAGGGGCCTAATCAAATAATAAACATCTAATGAGTAAACTCTGTGCGTGCACACACGTAAGACTGCACATACAAATGCAGAAGGGCACAAAAAGCTCAACTTTTATATTACTGAATCAACTTGTGGAACCTACAAGTCAGAGTAAGCAAGAAGACAGAAGCCATCAATGCTGTTTTGCATTTAAAATAAGAATTAACTTGACAAGTATTACTGCTGAAGCTCTTCACAGACCTGATAACAAAGACAAACAACCCATGTGTTTTAGCCAGTCTGACAGGAAAAGCAGCCCCCCAGACCCAACCTGAAGAGACATGCTGAACACAGCAAACACTGCAAATTGATCCTAGCTACACCCTGGACAGCAGATTCATTTAGGCAACTCTAGTCAAGGATGTATTTTTTAGGAGATACTCCAAGATGGACCAATATTAAAAGCATGGAAAAGCTTTTGAAGTTATTCTAAGCAATATAATGCCAAGCAAATGGACCTTACCAGGCAAGCTTAGTTCAATAACAAAGAGAATTTAAGTGCAAATGCTTCCCCCTGCTGCCCTTCACTTACCACAACCATGGCTATTGTAAAGTTTGGCCTGAGTTGGTAATCACACCACGGACTTGAAGCTCCGTAGCTGTCCTTATAAATGCCACGTTTGTGAACGAGATTGGGATGTTTCTCATTAGGATCTGCTGGGTTCTCGGAGACAAAGAAGAGCCTTTCAAAGTGCTCCTGGATTTTTCTGTTCCATTCATCGTATGTGATGGTCTCCTCCCTTCCTGCAAGTAAGAAAGCTTTATAGGGCATGTAGATTCACTTGGGCTGGGTAAGCATAAAGGAACCCCGTAACAGAGCAGCATCCCTCTGAAACATAAGGGACAGCTAAAGATATTTATGTAAAACTTCAGAGGAAATGGTATTCTGTGTTGTGAATATAGGGACAAAAAGTGTCCTGGGCATTTTATTTGGCATTCTTGTAAAGAATGATGTAGTCATCATAGCAAATACTAATCCCATCGCTTACACCCATTTCGAGAAGTGTTATTAGACTCCAAGATTCCTTTGCAACCCACACCTTAATACATGGAGTAAAATACTTGAGATAGAGCAGACAATGTCAACTCAATCTTTTTTTTTAGTAAAAAAAGGTTTTAATCATACAAGATTCTTTCCCAAGTTTTCCCCCTTTTTCCCTTAAGCCCTCCCGAGTATTTGATAATCATCCCCAATGTTATATGGCCACGATTGCACCGGTCTGGTTACTTTGGTACTCCAGTAATGCAAGTATGAGATGTGCCTGTTTTTACCATGTCCTTTTACAGTGACTCCACGGAATGGAAACACATTTTTCCCAGATAATTCCAGCAACCAGCGAACAGCCGACTTGCACAAACCAATGATTTCCACAGCAGAGCCATCCCTAAAGTAATGATACAAAAAAAGCCCCAAAATTACTTTAATAGCCTCTCAAAGCAATAGGTAACTGAAAGAAATACATCTTTATCTTATTTAGACACTTCATTTCCCCCTATTCTTCTACTATTCCCCCATTTCTCCTGTGTGAGCATCCCGAAGTTCTACAGCATTGCAGTGCTATGTGGGTTGCAGTGATTTGTAACAGCTCCATCATCATCTCTACTCATTTCCTAGACACCAGTCACCCTTCTTTCTTCCAAAATGAGGCCTGAAAATGAGGAGTCCTTAGATACTCCTTGCAAGGCAGCTACTCCATCCCTTTGAGCTTTCCCTGCCCTTCTCCATACCCCCCTTATCACTACATGGAACACTCAAGATACACTTGTGCCTTGCAGGTACCAAGTTCCACCAAGAGGCAGAATAATGCCCTCTGTCTTGTTCTACAAATCCTTCCTGATGAAACCCACTGTTACTGGGTTTTAGTAGCTTTTTTGGCTGCTGCTCTACACGGAGATATGATTTCAGAAAGCTACCAATCACTTTCCTTCCTGTGTGGCACCTCAGTTCTGACAGCATTGTGGTAGGCATGCTTTAGACTATTTCTGCCCTAAACACACATCTTCAGCCACACTGAGGCTTATCTGCCACTTAAAAGAACACTCAGTTTTATGTGGCACTTTTGAGTTTCATGAAGGGCCAAGAATAAAAGAAGCAGGCACGGTCAGTTTACTTTTGTTTGGATCAGTAGGATTCCACCCAAAGAAGAAACTATGCAGGAAAGGGTGGAAAACAGGCAACAAGCTCGACTGCAAACTGGCTACGAGATACTTTTTTTTATCATACCCAACTAATTTGCACAGATTTAAGATAATTTTATAGCAGTGATTAAGAACATGAAAAAAAGGATCAGCCTCAAACAACTTGGTCCTCTGCTGTTAAAACTGTGTCCAACACAGAGCTGAGTGCACTTTGGTAACTTGGGTAATGTTTCTGCTGTATTAGATTACTCATGTCAAAAGTGAAGCATTAAAATAAGCATTAAATGCACTTCTTGGACTTGCCTCTTTTGTCAGATGATATTCAGAGAATCACCATATGCATAAATCTCAGATTATATCATATTGGGTTTTACTGCCTGCTTGGTGCAAAATTTCTCTCCAGCAGCATCACTGATTTAGCCTCTTTAGGGGCAGGTCCCTCAATCTCCCCCAGTTCAATTGCCTGACTTGTCTTCCTTCAGTCCTCACCCACAGATAGCAATAGCACAGCACCAGTTTCACATCCAAAGTCAAGCAAGGATGCCTGCAGCAGTTTGTGAACACAGAGTTAAGAGCTTATTTTTAACATGTTTCATCTCAATTTCAAGAATTTAGATACAATCACAGAATCCCAGCCTGGTTTGGGTTGGAAAGAACCTTAAAGCTCATCCAGCTCCAACCCCCTGCCACGGGCAGGGACACCTTCCTCTAGAGCAGGTTGCTCCAAGCCCCTGTGTCCAACCTGGCCTTGAACACTGCCAGGGATGGGGCAGCCACAGCTCCTCTGGGCACCCTGTGCCAGCGCCTCAGCACCCTCCCAGGGAAGAGCTTCTGCCTTAGATCCAACCTGAACTTCCCCTGTTCCAGTTTGAACCCATCACCCCTTGTCCTATTGCTCCAGTCCCTGATGAAGAGTCCCTTCATCATGTGGTAGGTATTTCCGAGTTGTAAATAACAAGTATTCTAACAATACAATTATCAATAGATCTCTCTTCTAGTATGTCTAAATAACAAAGTACTGCTAGTACTGTTTGTACATAGTTTTTTCCTAAATTACATTTTACTACTTGAATTCCAAAGTCAACTCTTTGCAGGGAGCTAAGAACATGCTAGAAGCTGAGGGCTGCACCTGCTAAGAACACACCTTTCATTTTACTTTAATTGAGCAAAAACCAGGAAATAGCATTAATATTTTAGTAGGCACGAACTGTTAGAACATTTGAGAGATCACCTCTTAGATGTGTTAATGGAAGGCACAGTAGGCCTCAAGCTGCCCCAGGGGAGGTTTAGATGGAGCTGAGGAACAATTCCTTGCCCAGAGGGTGCTCGGGCATTGGAACAGGCTGCCCAGGGCAGGGCTGGAGTCACTGTCCCTGCGAGTGTTCACAGCCCGGGTAGACGAGGCCTCAGTGCCAGGGGTTAGTGGTGGCCTTGGCACTGCTGGGAATGGTTGGACTGGATGAGCTTAAAGGTCTTTTCCAACCTGGTGGATTCTATGTTTCTGCAGGAGAATTTGAGTTTAAAAAAAATCCCAGATTTAAAGATCCCCCCTTCCCAGCCTGGATTTTGTACCTTGGAGTAGCTGGAATTCCTTTGTTGCGAGCTCTGTCGCTCTCTCCCATTTTATCCATCCAAGTGCCACAATTGAAACGGTTCCCTCCAAAGACAAAGCCAGTTTCATGGTCAACACCCGCAGTCACATTAAAACCTGCCAAAGCAAGAGTATCACGTGTGAAGTCCATATTTTAAGCAAAACAAAAGCTCTCGTCCCCAGTCCGAACCTCCTGAATAAACCAACCCTTCACCCCAAACAACAGATCAGACGTGGGTTTCTGAAGGCAACTTTAGCTGAAGTGAAGGTTTATTTAGGATAAACTGTACCACAACATGTAACAGTTGCTGATAATAAATGTATTTAAAGTGATACAGTTTTAGTTGCATTAAACATTATTTGTTTTTCAGAAGCATACTCCAGAGCTAAACAAATATAAGACATAAAGAGCATCTTTTGAATTGCATAGCAAGTGTTCCGTTACCTTCATCTCTCATGTTTTGATCTATCTGTGGACCAGCATTCCTTTCCCGGAAATTTATGCCTTCCATGTGTCGTTGCATTGCTTCCTGTATTACTTCATAGAGTGGCTGATCCTGGGTGGATTGCACGTTTGGAAGAGACGTGAAAGGCAGGATGAAAAACAAGCAGAAAGGCTCTATCTAATGTGCAAGCCAAGCAGCAATTCTTAGCCTCTAGTTTATGATACTTGAAACCCTCCATCTATCATTTTCAGCAGCATCTTTGTCAATAGCAGTACACTGCACACAATTTTTAGTACTTTTAACTTTCCAAGGCAAAAAGCAAAGAACAAATTTAGCAGCTCATGGAATTTTTCCTCTCCATCCCCATCCCCACACTTGTCCAATCGTGTGATGCAGATGTAGCAAGAAGTGCCTAAAGTGTGGAGTTCAAATCTCACCATAACCACCAGATAGCAGCCTTTAACACAACTATATATTCCTAAAGAAGTACTTAAATCAGAAGGGATCTTTACCACAGTGCCTGCAGGCTGAGGAGAAGAGTCATCCCCTGGGTACATTCTAGAAACAGGACACCTGAGAATGTCTAATCCATTTGGCACAATCGTGCAGTAGTCCTGGATACACTGAAGCCACCACCATACAGCATCTCGGCAGTTGTACCTGGCATGTGTCCCCTGGCCAAGCAGATTGGGAATGAGACCATGTCTTAAAGTCCCACCAAAAGCTAAAATGATGTTTCTAGAACAGAAGAAAAACAGAGTCTTGACTAAGTCACTTTTAAGGCTGTTACTGGACTGAGTACTAAGAACAAAGCATTACAGTTTTCAGCAAAGTAGGTCGAAGAGACAAATGGGATCTTGAAGAAAGATGCCAGAACTTTGCTGGTGAAAGCTGCAAGTTATTTGGTGCTATGACACAGCTAGTTTGCTTTTTCACAGCTAACGATATAGAACCTAAACCCAAATCCCACCAAGGTCACAAGGAAGGATTTTATTAGCATTGTTTACCCTGGAATTCATTCTGATGAATGGGGTGGAATGGGGATGGAGGGCAGGAGTAGCTGGGAATTTCCTATTAAGATACCAAGAGGTGATGGCAACTGAAGTTATGAGAAGTTTCATTTGAGAACCCTTGCACACACCTCGTGGACAACATGAATTCCATCTAGCTTTGGAAGGGAATATAATCATACTAGTAGACTGCAGATGTTACTGCATGAGAAAGGTAATAGCTATCACAGAATCACAGACTGGTTTGGGTTGGAAGGGACCATCCAGTCCCAACCCCTTGCCATGGGCAGGGACACCTCACTCTAGACCATGTCACCCAAGGCTCTGTCCAGCCTGGCCTTGAGCACTGCCAGGGTTGGAGCACTCACCACAGCCTGTGCCAGTGCCATGTACAAGAGCACAAATGCCCACCTGAACCAGCCAACTTTAATGTATGTATCATGTGGCAATCTCTGCCCAAATTAAGTATTAACAAAGTATGTAATTTCTGCAGTATTTTTAATTTCACTTAGGGAGAGCTCCCAAATCCATCCGGGGCCGTTGCAGTTTTATACTGCACATCAGCTGTTTCTAACTGCCTGTGTGCCATCTCAGGCTGTGAGACCATGCCTTTTTCCTAACTACCTGCAAACCCAGGAAGAACTAAGTCTAAGCCAGTCTCACCTTGCTTCTAGATAGCGCCCAGTAACCAGCATTAAACCTCTCAGTGCAATAAAGGTATCCCTTCCCCAGGAGCGAAAAATTCCAGAGGAAAAGTGAGGTAAACCTAAAAGGAAAGGTCATTGTTAGTCTCATTTGTTAGAGCAGAAATGTCCACGCACACATGTCCATAGAAAATAACCAGCAGTAAAAATACATTCACATTTACAATGATTTTTCTAGATTAAGATATTGAAACAATCTCCCCAACCAAGTTCTTGATAAAACCAAATAAAACCTCATTTTAGAACATCTGCTAGAATTTCAAGATCGTGCAACAGAATTTCTCACCTCAGTAAGAGTCCCATTTTAATTAAGTTGCTTTGTAACTTCCCCAAGTGCCATCCTTTTAATTACAGGAGCAGAAGGAAAGCTACCAAACAAACAGCCAGAACCATGTGAGGATTTACACTGCTTTCTTAGCAGGGTTGCTGAAGGAGGGCCATGCATCTCAGTGGTATAAACAGGACAGGACTGGAGAGCTATGAATTTGTTCAGGCCAAATCTGTTCTCAGCCAGGATAAAAGGAATCCTGCTTCTCTCTTCCAGCAGCTTCTAGAACTACATTGTACTGCAGACATTATAATGCCTAACTTACGATTCTGACTCATAAAGCTTAATAATTACAACAGGAGGGTCCATCCTTGTGTTTACTTCTATTTATCAACCTGAAAGTTGAACTTACTACAAAAACTCCACATGGTGAAGTTTCAAAGCAGCAGCCTCTTGTGCATGCTTGATAGAGCCACGTTCTAACTTCTCTCACCTACTTGTCCAGAGTGTTTGCTAATACTCAAATATGGCCTCCACACTTCTGGGTTTTACAGGATATGAGAAGAAGACTTGAGAATGACAATCTATGTACGAGTTCAAAATCTCAGACACAACTGCCAGTCCGTGAAGGGAATACACAAACCCAAACCCTTTAGTGTAATTAATTTTCAGGACCAGTTTAAGGGAACACTGTGCCCCTTTGCTGCCAGGCAACACTAAAGCAGCAAACGGAATGTAACTGAAACCCAGGAACCAGCAGCAGTAAAATTCCATGAGAGAAAAAGGATTTCAGAAAGAAGGAAATAAACACCCCAGTGAGACAGATGCCACAGAATGTGGGGACGTGAAAAGTTGCTGTGGTTGCAGAAAAGGAATGGGCCAACTCAGAACAAAACTAAATTCATTCTAGGCCACCAAACACAGAAGATGATACTCTGGACGTAGGAAAGTACCCAACTGAAAGACTGCAAGATGCTGGCTGAACATTTGGAGCTATAAATCCTATTTGCTGAGTACTTTTATGCTCTTTCCTTTTGGAGAGCTCAAGATCAGGTGTTTTGCCCTGCTAAAGGTTCCTTCCCTCTGAGAACTTGTGAACAATAAATCCACCCTCGTACTTCATTCCAATTCAGTTCTTAAATTCATATTTCAAGGAAGATAAACTAAAGCCTATTATGCCAAGTCTCTTTATCTCAAGCAAGTCTTCTGGAAAGAGAGAACATACTTATGGATCTCCATATATGATAAAAAGAGATATTCTTATCTATATCCACTAAATAAAGCATTTATAAGCTCCATCTCCCAAGAGCAGTAACAAAATGGGTTTCTCAGAGTAGTACCAATAGACAGAGCTCCCATATTTTTAAAGTTAAAACCCAGGGGAGAGGCAAGTAAAACTGCTGCCTACATTTTATACCTGGTTGCTGACATATGGATCCCAAACACTGGAGGCAATTTTAATACAGTTACTAAGAATAGTTGAACTATTCTGGAAGACTTTCAATGTTGTCCTCACTTACCAGCTGCCAAGGAAACACAACACTGTTCTTTCACATTCGTAATCTCATTCAGCCTATAGGGGACATCATGCAGGGAAGGAGACAGATCTGGCAGGCAAGGGTATCTTCCTATGCCACACATCTGGATTGAACCCAAGGAAAGGTGTTTCACAAATGTTGATCCATTCTGCACAAAGCTGTAACCCAACATAATTCACTTAAAATGACTTCACATTCAGCAACATCAATCCATAAAAATCTATCCTTTTTCATTTACAGGTGACTATTGTAATTATTAGGTATAATAACTACAATAATAAACTAACACTGGGTTAATATTTATATTTTGCATAAGATTCAGTTTGTAAATCAATTTTTCCCCCAAAATGGATGCCCAATATTAGCCTTAAAATTTAATTTAGTAATGCCAGTGGGAGTCTTGGTGTCAAATACTTCTAGGGAAAAGGGCAAAACCAAAAGCTTGGTTTACATGATGTCTTCATAGGAGCTCAGACCTCAAAAATGAGGAAAGATATTTCACTGTGAACAAGAGATCCTGTCAAACTTGGTATTTTTAAAGATCATCACATTTTTATATACATTATCATATATAAAGACTTATAACTCAGTGAACACTGTCTAAAATAGCACAACCTGTGCTCCTGACAAGTTCAGGCCCAAGCATTTTTCCATAGCATATAGTGGAGTTCGCTGCCATACCGAATTCTAGTCTCATTTTAACATCTGTATTTAAAACCCCCAAACCTGACTTGTTCAGAGCACTCACAGCTAGAATAAAGCCTCCATTAAATCCATCTCCCTTTCCTTTCCAAGGAGGAAAAGAGAAGCAGATGCTGAAGATTAAACGGTTACTTGAGGTAAGTAAAGTGCTCAGATAACAAAGGATATTCATCCGTGTTAAAATGCTGAACAAAGCAGCAGCACAAGGACAATCTGGTTGTTTTCTTCTTTCCCTGAACTTTAGGAACTGTTGCAGTTGAACTAAAATTACAGCAAAAAAAGGGTTTCTGAAGCTTGGCAAAGAAATGCTGGCTTAAGGCTTCCTCCTCCTACTGCACACCACCAGCAGGAGCTCCAGATTCAAACCCACAGCCACGCGACCCCTCCAAACCTTCAGAGGATGGGTTTGGTGTTCACCACCCATTTTACCCCTTGACACTGGACAAGGATGAAAAGATTCAAATCGCATTCTCCAGCAGGTGAAACTGAAAAGGTGCAAATACGTGCAGGTACCTCTACAGCTCTGCTCTGCCCAGCATACCTGGACATCTGACGCCATCCCACATCCAGAAGCGTCGTGTACGCACCCACTAGTATGGCATCGAAGTAACATGGGATGAGGTAACGTGGAATTCTCTTTAGGTACACAAACATGGCTTTCAACCATTTACCAACCTATTGAAGTACAAGATAATTAGAACTTGGGAAGCGTAGGGTTCAAAACCAGTGCTTTCAGGACCCATCTAGTTGATGTATGTGTACATTTATTACACCCAAGTTATGCCTGACTGCCACAAAAATGAGACTCTCTTCAGTTCCTACCACCACCACCACTAGCATCTAACCATTCAACACCTTTGAAGTTATCCATGTAAGGTATTTGTGGTAGAACTGCTGCACCCTCCTGCTCCAAAATTTCAGCTGGTATGAACTCTAAAAGAAGTAGCAGGGAAAAACCTGCACTATATTCATTAGGTCACAAATGGGCAAACCCATCAAAGAGATTTTATTTTGCTAGTCTTGTAGGAAACCCCCCAAATATCTCAAAAAGAAGTTATCAAAACTGAGTGGCAAAGGAAACTGAGTAGCAAAGGAAAGCTGCATCACTACAACCCATGGGAAGGGTTTCTCATTGCTTAAAGACAAGATTGAAGAGATGAAGCTTGAGACAGGGACAAAAAGGATTATCAGAAGACTAAATTATTTACAGCCACCAGTGGAAAATGACTGCAGATCTGGGCCTAGGACTCGGGATGCTGGAGCTTCACCATCCCTGTATCACTGTAGAGTGTTTGACACATGGGAAGTATTTCTCCTCTTCTGCTAAAGAAAGATTGTGATAACCTACTAGGAAGTTACTCAAGATTTCAACCTTGCAGATGAAGAAAGTAAGTATCAGTGTATTACACGGTGACACTGTTCTTGTAACCTGGAAATTAGGAAGGGAAAGTTGCTTATGTAAAACATAAACCTAAAGTTTAGTTTCATGTGACTTCAGTATTGCTGTAGGTACTTTATATTTTCTGCAAAACAGAGTAAGACACTACAAAAGAAGAACTCAAAAACTACACAGGAAAAAACAAGCAATAGTCTTTGAGGAGCAGTAAATCTGGCAAGTATCAGACCAACTTCCTTTCTGTAAAGGCTCTGTCTCTGAAGTCAAATTCAACATTCACTTCAGCACATCAGACTGCTTTATCCATTCTTCTGCTTTCTTACACTTGGCTTCAGGAACAAAATGAAGTAAGAATGATAAAGCCTTTATTATTATATTCATTATGTAAGTTACTCAAATCAGGTCGTCTTCTTGTGAACTAAATAAAGCAATTGCCCTGCAGGAAAATCAAATATGGCAAAGAAAGAAAAGGACTGTGTGCAGGTAAGCTGAATCTCAGTAATCCCTGTCTTCTCAGTGATTGACTGTGTAATCTTACAGTAACTCCATCATAATAATGTACACCTTGGTATTTAGGCCCTCTTCTGAAAGTACTTAAATAATGGTTACTTCATTTTTATGTGAGGGAAAGTAATAAAGAGGGGAGGACCCCCACAAGCCTTTACACCAGAGCTACCCACTCCTCCATGCCCTACGTATTTTCCACTTTCATTTTGCCATCTATTCTTATACAGGATTGAAGAGAGGGAAGAGAAGTATATTAATGGTGTAACCTCCTAGAAGAACTTGCCTAGACAGAAGGTGTTACAGACAGACTGAAGTTCAGAACAGACCAGCAACTGAAAATGGAACAAACTAGTCATTTAAACCCCAAGGCCAGCAAATAAGTATTTTTACTCACTTCTGCACAGGCTCCTGCACGTGAAATCAGGCGATTACTGACATAATCAATCATCCAGTCACCAGATCTCAAATTATCACAAAATGGATGACCCAAATCATTCTTTGGTCTAATGTCTGCCATCACGGACATTAACCCTGCAGATACAAACCCAACTCTAAATTAAAAGACAATACTTATCACAAATAGCAAGTACAATTCAGGAGGAAAAGGTACACAGCAACAGATGGTCTGAAGCACAAGTGTGATGGGGAAGGGCTGAGGGACCTGGGGGGTTTAGTGTGGAGAAGAGAAGGCTCAGGGGGGACCTGATCGCTCTCTGCAACTGCCTGACAGGAGGATGGAGCCAGGAGGGGGCTGGTCTCTGCTCCCAAGGAACAAGGGATGGGACAAAAGGAAACTGCCTCAAGCTGCCCCAGGGCAGGTTTAGCTGGAGCTGAGGAACAATTCCTTGCCCAGAGGGTGCTCAGGCATTGGAACAGGCTGCCCAGGGCAGGGCTGGAGTCACTGTCCCTGCGAGTGTTCACACCCCGGGTAGACGAGGCCTCAGTGCCAGGGGTTAGTGGTGGCCTTGGCACTGCTGGACAATTGTTGGGCTGGATGAGCTTAAAGGTCTTTTCCAACCTCGTTGAGTCTATGATTTTACACAGTTATGGAAGCTGTTGTGGAATAATTAGCCTGATGCAATTCATACATTTGGTAAGTGGTCAGCAGTGCTCAGAATTTAGTAATGCTGAGTTCAATGTGACTTTTCACTGGAGATACATATATTTTGGTTTTACTTTAAAAGCAATGGCATTGGTGTTAAAACACATACTGAAACTTAATTCTGCAGCCCAGAGTGTCAAGAGAGAGGAGCTTTGGTTTAGTATATGATTTTTCTGGGTACAACTCTGATTAGTAGCATGGTCGAGCAGAAAAAAACCCTCACTTACGTTTTTTACCCAAACAATGGCACTAGTCATAAGACAGCATTAAGGTATGAGCTAGATTGAGCAGCTCTATGCTATGGTTTTTTTCTTGACAGAAGAAAGAATGCTGAAACTATTACCTTGGAGGCCTGCATACTTCAGCGATGACCAGTTTGGTATGTTATAACAACCTCCACCATCTTCTTGTTCTTCTGCCTCACATCTATACAGCACTTGATTCAGGTCAGCCAAGGTTAGTTTAGATGCAATACTGAAAACATGGTGGAGAACACATAAACAATTCCAAACCCAAAAAGCAGCATCAGTAGGGAAA